TTAAGGATGGTGTTCTCTCTCTCTTGTTTCCCTGATCACCTTTCCATTGCAGATTTAAAATCTGAGCATTTTCTTCTTCTGTGCAGCTCCTTCTTTTCAGCAGCTCAGTGCCAGGTGGCTCAGTATTCCCTGCACTTTCATTAGATTTGTCAGCCTTATTTGACATGGTAGCAAGAGAATTGTTCTTGCTACAGCATTGGAGCATCTTGCCAGATGGCAACAGATGAATTCTTTAGTACTTGTGAATTAGTCTGGTATCACCTGAGAGCAAGAGCTTATTTGGGGTATAAGATCTAGGTTCAGGACCACAGCACCAGCACAGTGATTTCTGCTGTGTATTGCATTTAATCACCATATGCAGTAGACATCTATCTAGTTGTGTTTGTACCTTAGCATGAAATTAAAAAATCATCCTCAAGAAAAAAGCTCAACATCCCTTCCAGATGGCAACGGAAAAATGTCTCTGGTTGTCAGATTCTTGTATTCTTGCAAGACTAAAGCACACCAGTGTGGCAATGCTTGAAGCTGCTGGTGGTTCAAGGCAAGAGATTACAACCTTTGCTCATTTTGCTTAGGTTTCAGAAATACACTCTTGGTGATAGCTGGCTTCCTGCTGGTGGACCTCTGAAAATGCCCTAGATGAACATAGAGGTTATTTACATGTGTGAAGAAGATTTAGAAAGACTGAAAGAATATCAGATTGCAGAACTCTGCTGAGTACTAATCCAAGTGAGTTTGTGGTGAAAATTGTCTACCAAGAAAGGGCTTGTGCAAATGGAAGAACAGGAAGAACTGGAAGAACAGCAGCCCATGAGCAGGTGGTCAGTCTTATCTCTCTTGCTGAAAAGGAGCTCAAAAAAGGCAGCCCTGAACTAGACAGGTAGGTAACACTGCAAGCAGTTTTCACATGATAGATGAGCACACGATTTAGTGAGAATTAATAGCGTCATAAACCAGCAGAAAGGTGTAAGTCAGAAGACAAAAAAAAACCCCACACAACAAATCGAGGGCTTTAAAACCACCTCCTGCCAGAGGTGGGCTGCTCTCTGCAGGACAGTTTTGCACATTTTACCTAGTCTGCTTTTAAGCACCCCATATAGTAGTAGTTACCATCACTTCCCTTGGGAGGAAAAGAGGATGTTTAGTACCTGTCCTTACCAGGAAGGTGCAGTTGGTCACCTGCCTCTTCTCTTTTCCTGACTCATCAGCCTGAGTGATTCCCTGTGCAGCACTCTGAGCTATGCTGCTCTGCCTTTCTGTCTTGAGCCTACAAATAGTCTATTTTATGCAAATTCAGGTCCATGGGCTTACACATGGGTCTTACTGTTCACATCTTTCACGTATTTATGGAATAAGAGCCCCTCTTCAGCTGTCTGCTGGCCAGAATAAATAGGCCATATGCACAACTCCCTCTTCTATCTAAAATCTGACCTGTACATGTTACTTTGTTTCTTTCAAATTTAGTTTTCACAACCTCTTGATAAGGTTGGTTTGAGTTTTTAGAGCTGTTTTTTTAGTGTTTGAATAAACTCCAGTTCAGGAACAGCTTTTCTTCTACTGTGATGCCTTTGGGAGAATAGAAATATCATGATGGCTCCAGTAGGTTCAGTTCAACACTGCTATTGGGTTTTGCACTCAGAAACATGGGTAGGCAGAAGCTGCAGCAGCAAGAATAGGAAAAACATACTGTCAGATCATTCATCTTAATAAAAACAGGGCACAGGGTAAGAAGAGCATAGGAAATATATTTTTCCTTGCTCCACGTAAACCTTTTACTCACTTGGATGAGACCTCTCTAAAAAAGGCTTTATCCTGTGCAAAGGAATAGATGAATAGATCTGTTCACCAAGACACTGTCAACATCTTCATATGGCTGACTTGGTCATTCTTCTTGCACACATATTTGCAGTTCTTAATGCAAACTCAGGATGGCATCACTCCAGATATTAGCAAAGCAGGAACAGCAGGGCTTTCTCTCCTCACAAAGCATCCCTTCCAATGAGCTCCATGTCCAAATCCATGGATACTTGAATATTTTGGTGTAGCACTTGACTGTTGTCCACCAACTCCTGGTTCAATTTATGGCTAACTCACCTGAGAAAATTGCACTCCTGAGAAACTTACAGACTGGGTAAGCATTAGAGATTGAGGCAACAACAGGAACCTTGTGGTTGGTGCCTACTACAGGCCACCTGATCAAGGGGAGTCTATTGGCAAAGCTTTCTTACTCCAGCTACAGGAGGCATCAAGCTCACAGGCTCTTGCCCTGCTGGGGGCCTTCAGCCACCCTGACATCTGCTGGAAAAGTAGCAAAGAGAGCTGCAGGCAATCAAGGAGACTCTTGGAATGCATTGAGGCCTTTTAAGTCAGGTGTGGAGAACGGTCTTCACTAGCAACTTCTCTTCCCACACCCCTTGAGTGCATGGACTGCAAGGCAGGGACTGGGGAAGCAAATTCCCTCCCACTGTAAGAAACAATCACATTTGAGACCATCTGAGAAAACTGAGTAAATATAAATCTAGGGGACCTGATAAGATGCTTCCCAGAGTGCAGAGGGAATTGGCTGATGTTGTTGGCAAGCCAAGTCATGGCAGTCAGGTGAAGTCCCTGGTGACTTGAAAAAGGGAAACATTGTGGTCATTTTTAGAAACATTGTGGTCATCTGTCGGCCTCGCCTCTGTGCCTTGGAGGACCATGGAACAAATCTTCTAAGAAGATTTGCTAAGGTACATGGAGGTGATTCACCACAGCCAGCATGACCTTATCTAGAGCAAGAACTGTCTGACCAACCTAGTGGTCTTCTATGATGGAGAGACTACATCAGTGCAGAAGGGAAGAGCTACGGGTATTATATGTCTGGACCTCTGTAAGGCCTTTGACATGGTTCCTCACAACATCCTTCTCTCTAAATTGGAGAGACATGGATTTGATGGATGGACTGTTTGTTGGATGAGGACTTGGTTGGATGGTCACATCCAGAGGGTAGTCATCAACAGCTCAATGTCCAGATGGAGGTGAACGGCAACTGATGTCCCTCAGGGATCCATACCAGGACCAGTACTGTTTAATATCCTCATCAGATACATTGGCAGTGGGAATGAATGGACCCTCAGCAAGTTTGAAGACACTAAGGTGAGTGGTGCAGTTCCTGTTTGAGGGATGGGATGCTACGCAGAGGGACCAGGACAAGCTCAAGAAGTAGAACTGTGAAACCTCGGGAAGTTCAACAAGACTAAGTGCAAAGTCCTGCACCTGTATTGGGACAATCTCCAGCATCAGTACAGTCTGGGGGATAAAACAATCGAGAGCAGCCCTTCAGAGAAGGACTTGGGGATACTGGTGGATGAAAAGCTAGACATGAGCTGGCAGGATGGGCTTGCAGCCCAGAGGGCCAGAAGTCTCCTGGGTTGCATAAAAAGAAGCGTGACCCTTGACCAGGTGAAGGGTGGTGAGTCTGCCCCTCGACTGCACTCCCATGAGACACCACCTTGAGTGTTGTGCCCAGCTCTGGAGCCATCAGCATAGGAAGGACATGGACTTGTTGGAGCAGGTCCAGAGAAGGGCCATGAAGATGATCAGAGGGCTGGAGCACCTCTGCTATGAGGACAGTCTGAGAGAGTTGGGGCTGCTCAGCCTGGAGAAGAGAAGGCTCTGAGGAGACCTTATAGGGGCCTTAAAGTACCTGAAGGGGGTCTACAAGAAAAAGCGGGACAAAAATTTTATCAGGACCTATAGTGATAGGACAAGTGGTAATGGTTTTACATCAAAAGAGAATAGATTTATACTAGATTTTAGGAAGAGTGTTATCTACAGTGAGGGTGGTGAAACACTGGAACTAGTTGTCTAGAGAGGTGATAGACACCCTATCCCTGGAAACATGCAGTTTGGATGTGGCTCTGATCTAGCTGAAGATGTTCCTGCTCACTGCAGGGGGTTGGACTAGGTTACCTTTAAAGTTATGTTCCAGCCCAAACCATTCTATGATTCTCTGATCTTTATCTGTGACAGAAATTAAAATTTACATGTGTACTATTTGCAACATTTTGTTCTGGTAAACTACCAGCCCAAAATATTCACTAAAGCTTTAGTGGCTCTTCATTGCTATCAAAATTGCTATCCAGTTCTGAGAATACATAACTGATGTTATTGGGCGGTCTGTTACCCAACAGCTGTAGTTTCACTGATTAAGTTTTTTATTATTACTATTAGCCATAGAGTTTCCAAGAGAATACCATAGCTTAGCTCACAGTTGAAAAAAAGAAATTAATAAATTGGATTCTTCAAAAAATTCATCACCAGTTAAGCAGAAGGTTGAGTGTAGCAGGTTCATCTTGCAGCTGGGAGAAGACTTACCAAATGCTTGCTCCAGAGTCATCTCTAAAGTTTAGACATTGCTTGAATTTTATGAGAATTTATGCAGTTTAAATAATGTACTCTATTTACACCTTTTTTTTTTTCCTTTTGTTGCTGTTACTGCAAGAAACAATGAGATTTCTGAAGAAATAAACCAGGCATAATTACATTTTAATTGCAATCAATTGGTAAGGCCACTAGCAAAGGCATTTAGCAGCTGAGCAAATCTGGCTTGGAAACATTAAGAAAAATACTGAACTGGTGGCTGAATGAGGAAAGTTTCTGATTTCACTGGCCATACCATCGTGCTCTAAATATCCCTTGGAAACATAGTTCAAGCACAAATGGCTTCATAAATGTAACTGAGGAATGAGAATCATATAGTAAATTCAGGTATATAGAGTTAAATCAAGTTTGTGTTTATTCCTCAATTTGTGAAATTACCTACAGAGTAGAGAAGATGAGAAAGAAGTTACCAAAATCTAGACAAAGTCAATAGCTTTGAAGTCTGCACTTTAGAGGTTTTAATCTGAACATTGGTACACATTGATACCAAATTGCACTGGAAAGAAGACTTGGAACAAATATTTATTGGGTTGTTTTTGTTTTCTCCCCCAAACAAGCATTGCCATTTGTATCATTCTCACCTGCAGAGGTTTTCACAATTTCTGAAGTATTTCTCAGACCCATAAAGTCAAACTGATAGAGTCTCCAAGATTTCTGGTCAGCAGCCTCCACTGAGTTTTTTCTCCATCTGTAAATCATTTCCTCTTTAGGGTAGCCATCTAGAAATTAAAAATATACATATATATTGCATTTAATAGAAAGGTCCTGCAAAACAGTATCTGTTCAATGACTGAGAGCTATGAAGGAAGACTTAAATTTCTGATCTGATGCCTTCCCAGAGAGTTTGGTGGTATAATTCAACTAAAGAGCTGGATGGCACACAAAAATAGAGTAATAATACTAGCAAAATTATTCTTTCTCTCAATCATTATTATTTCCGAATAGAGAAAAAATCTGATTGGTTCTATCAGAAGCAGATCTCTTCAGAGATGCAGTTGATTATACTAATTTGAGATCCCTGCACATCATTATACTGCTTTACATACACTCTGATTAAATTGTGCAGACCAACAGAATGTAAAAAATAAGGGGAGATATCAGTGTAAGATGTAAGAAATTGGAAAGAACAGATTGTTTAAAAAGTGACAACGGTTCTAATGTTGTGTGTGCTATTGTACTTCTGAAATGAGCCCAATGCAGTGCAAAAAAGCAATTTTTTAATTAGTAGGGGATTTGAAAAGTGATTATGCCATCATATTACTCCTAAAGACTGTGGTATTTAATGAGACATCACCTGATTTCTACAGCAGAAATAGCTTCTGAATGTCTTCCTTTATCAGTTTAGCACTTAGTAGTCATAATTAATCCTCATGCCAATATTTCATTTCCTTTTTGCTTGAGAATGGCATTTTCCAATAGAAGTCCAACAATTAATCTCTAACCAGCCCAAACCATAATAATAGACTGTCTAGCAAACAGCAGCACACCCATGCTAGTTGAAACTAGATTGTTCTCTAACACATAATACAATAAATGCCTATTTAACTAATAATTAATATAGTAGATGTAGATTACAAGGAAAATTAAAAACCTAACAACAACAATAGCCAGTTCATAAAACTGTCTCAGCTGCAATTTTTTATTTATTTTTTTTTTCCCATTAGATAGTGATAAATTTTTATATTTGCACTACAAAACAGCTTCTGGTCACAGTGCTATTTTCTTGGTATTTTACTCCTATGAGTGCTTTCTTCATCTTGTTTAAGGTTCCACCCTGCTGGGGAAGTCCTGTAAGGTCTGCATGGGCTCCTTTATCCTTCACACTAACACAGCATGAAAAGTGCTCTCCAGTCCCTCAGTTTCAATCTGCAGAAAATGACTATGTGTTAATTCAAAATGCCATGCTCACGTATTTCCCATCAATGTAAATAAAGCAATGACTGATGAAGGACCCAGCTGAGTAACAAACACAAGCTCTGCTGTTCTCCACAAGAACTCTTCCTGCCAAGCAGATTTGGCTGCCAATTCTGCTGTGCCAGTCTGTGACATTGATCTAAAGGTTAACTTTTCCTGGCTGGCTGATTATGTCAGGTGATGGCAAAGGTACAGTGAGAGGAGTCAGGATTTTCAGGGCCTCTGAACTTTAGCCCTACATCCTTTGAAATCTTCTCAAGCCTTGCTCCTCATGGCCTGAGCCCTCTGATTGCATTTCTGACCAAACAAGGTCTCTCTCTAATGGAAAGTCCTACTTTTAATCATAGAATCATTTAAGTTGGAAAAGACCCTTAAGATCTTCAAGTCCAACCAGAAACCTAACACTGCCAAGTCCGTCTAAATCATGTCCCTAAGCATTGTATCTACACATCTTTTAAATACCTCCAGGGATGGGGACTCCACTACCTCCCTGGACAGCCTGTTCCAGTGCCTGCCAAGCCTTGCAGTGAATTTTTCCTACTATCCAATCTAAACTTCCCCTGACACATCTTGAGGCCATTTCCTCTCATTCTATAACTTGTTACCTGGGAGAAGAGACTGACCTTGCTACAAGCTCCTTTCAGGTAGTTGTAGTCTTTTCTTCTCCAGACTAAAACACCCCAGTTCCCTCAGACATTCCTCACAAGACTTGTGCTCTAGACCATTTGGTGTCAGTTATTAATTGAAACAATTAAATTTAGGGGGGAAATAATATAAAAAAGAACATCAGGGACATGCAGAATAAAAATAGGGCTTAAGCAACAGTGAAACAGTAATAATTAGACAAAACCAGATTCCTATTAGACAAAAGCAAATCCCAAGTAGCCAACAGCCCGGCCTTGAGACAGGCCTGCAGGACACCTGCAGGGGAGTTGAAAGGCATGGAGAGAAGCACTCCCCACAGCTCATCTTGGTTACAGCCTTGAGCACTGGTAGAAAACACTGAGTAATTGGATTCACCATATTAACATACATTAATGTATGAATGAGCCATTAGCATACTAAAGTACCCACCCATAGGCTAGAGGGACCTCTACTGACAAAAAGTCCCTTGCTCTTGGAACATTCATAGTGACATTTTTCAGCATTGCCACTTTAAATGGAAGCAAGGAATGAGTTGACCAATCATGTGCAAATGATAGAATGATGTTAGGGATAAAGTTATCTCTCAGGTTTTTGGGTATAAAAGTAGCACTCGTGTTTCAGGAAACTGAGCTTGCTCTGTGGAATACCCCTCTGCTCCCTTTTCAGTGCAGAGCTGGATATTAAAGCAAATAACTCAACTGTGTGTGTGGATTAGCTTCTTGCACCCCAGGTGACTTGGCCCTACTTTTGGGACACCATCACCAGCTTCGCTGCCCTTCTTTGGGCTGGGTCTAGCAACTCAATGTCCTTCTTGTAGTGAGGGGGCCAAAAGTGAACACAGTATTTGAGGTGTGACCTCACGAGTGCTGAGCACAGGGGGACAATCACTTCCCTGCTCCTGCTGGCCACACTATTCTGATACAAGCCAGGATGCTGTTGGCATTCTTCACCACCTGGGCACACTGCTGGCTCATGTTCAACTGGCTCTTAATCAACAGCACCCCCACGTCCTTTCCAGCCCCTCTGCCCCAAGCCTATTGATTTGCCTGGGGTTGTTGTGGCCCAAGTGCAGGACCCAACACTTGGCCTCACTTAACCTCATACAGTTTGCCTCAGCCCATAGATCCAGCCTGTCCAGGTCCCTCTGCACTGCCTTCCTACCCCCAAGCAGATGGACACTCCTGCCCAATTTGGTGTCGATCTGCAAACTTACTGAGGATGCACTCAAGGCCCTCGACCAGATCATTGATAAAGATGCTGAAGAAATCTAGCCCCAGCACTGAGCCCTGGGGTAGCCTGCTTGTGATCAGCTACCAACTGGATTTAACTCCATTTACCACAACTCTTCATGTCTGGCCATCCAGCCAGTTTTTTTACCCAGTGAAGCATACACTGGTCCATCCCACGACCTCACAGCTTCTCCAGGAGAACGCTGTGGGAAACTGTGTCACTGACTTGACTTTAGCAAAAACATCCACATCATTTCCCTCATCCACTAAGTGGATGATCTTGTCATAGAAGGAGATCAGGTTAGTTAAACAGAACCTGGCTCTCAGAAGCCTTCACAGATTGACTTCATTCATGGAGACTCTTACATCTTTTACCTGCAGTTCAGGGGGGAAGAAGCATCAGATTGCCTCCTCGTCATGCTGTGCCCTTACACCAGGCAGCAGTGGCAGAACCACCCCTTCCCTACAAAGCAGTATAAGGGCGACAAGAGGGGCTGCAATGCAGTCTGGATCCTAATCCTGCCTCCTGATTGGCTTCCTGATTGTGGAGGAATCCTTGTCCTGTTTACCATCATCGGTCAACTAGCCTCCCTCACCTACTTCACCATCCTCCTAACCCTCTTTCCCCTTACCAGAGCTCTAGAGAAAAAGATACTCAACTACTAAAATACTCTTAATAGTTTATAAAAACACTGGTCTTGTAAACCAAAGAATGAAGATTATAGCCCTTCTTAGAGTTTTCCCAAACCAAGCATCAGGAAAAAAGGGCTTAAACCTCTATCTCCAACTCCCAAAGCTGGCATTTTTCATTAAACTATTCTCTGACCATCCACCTAACTGCCTAAATCGCTCCACGAGAAAGCCCAACACAACTGAGTCAACAGTAAACCCCACCCAACCCCCAAAAGCATTCCCAGCCCCCAAGAATAGAACATAGCCACACCACTGAAATCCAACCGACCAGAGAACATCCCCCTACTATCAACAGTCACCACCCCCAACTTCCATCCCTCAACAAAACCTTCCACAACCAATGCTAAAACAAACCCACCCCATACCCTACAACACGCCAATCCCCCCATGTCTCAGGAAAAGGGTCAGCTGCCAAGGACACCGAATACACAAAACCCACCAACATTCCCCCCAAATACACTATAAATAAAACCAACAACACAAAAGAGAGCCCAACGTTCATCAATCGTCCACACCCTACAACAGAAGCAACCACCAAACCAACCACCCCAGAATAAGGAGAGGGGTTAGATGCAACTGCTAACCCCCCCAACATGAAACACACTGCTAAAAAAACAACAAAATAAGCCACAGAAGTTCCTACTTGGCTTTTCTCCAAGACCTACAGCCTGAAAATCTGCTGTTGTTTCTTCAACCACAGAAACATATGGTCACCACGTCATGACGTACCCCCTCTGGCCCAAATAATACAGGGATGCTCCTACAATTATTACATGTACTAATAACCTTATGTCATGCAAGCATTAACTTACTTGTCCCGTTAGCATGACATTATCTCTGGAGTATGCAATCTAATTCTTGTACTAAACCCATAAATTGTCAGCAATGGTCCTGGTGCAGTCCTGACATGAGCTCCCACTTCAGAATCTGTGGCTCTCCTGATGTGGAGGAGGGAAAATCCTTGCCCTGTTGCAGTCTTAACACCAGTTCCCACTGCTGAACTTGTGGCTCAAAGTGCTAATTTGCATATTTTGTATCAGGCAGTAGGTGGAGTCCCTTTTCCCAGATAAATTTCACCATAATCATTGCAAGTCACTCAAACACTGGTCAGAAGACTGACTGGTAGAAGTAAACCAGCCCACCTGGCTTAATTTTGAATTGTCACACACATTTAAGCTAAACACCAAATTCACTGTGTTTACTAACAGGAAGGTAAATTCTATGAAACCCCTACAAGT